TTCATTGAAAGAAAGTTTGGGGGCGGGGCCCCATACATCTGAATGAACTAATTGAAAAGGTTTAGTACCGTGAGAAATACTTGTAGTAAAAGGAATTTTATGGCTTTTTTGCCACTTTGCAAGAAATACAAGTATGGGGAATAGAAGAAGAAGAAACATGTTTTAATTCTGGAATGTGCTTCTCGATAACTGAAAGAAGACGGGCATGGGGATGGCCGAGACGGGCATGCCAGAGAGAGGTGGAAGTGGTGCTTGTCCGGAGAGCAATAGTCTTGTTATTGTGAGTTATGCGAATGTGATAGAGACCGTCATGATTGCGACCATGGATAAGGGGTTGATTGTCCTATAGATCCTTAATGATGAATCCGTTAGCGTCAAAACAAATGGACTTATTGTCAGAGGTTAATTTAGAGATGGACAAAAGGTTATGAGAAAGAGATGAAATATGAAGAAGATTTCGAAGATAAAGCTTACGATTAGTGTCGGGTAGGGGAAGGATTCCTTGGCCAGTTTGGTGGACGGGAATGGTACTTCCATTGGCGATCGAGACTGAGTCGGAGCTGATGTAAGGAGCTGATTGAATTAGATTTGAAGCATCAAAGGTGAGGTGAGAGGTGGCTCCAGAGTCTAGAACCCAATCGTTGGTAGAAGACATGCCAGAATTTTGGTTTGCAAGAAGAGCGCGGTTATACCAAGCTGGAGAGGGAGCGTATTGCATATTGCAGTGATGCCAGCAGTTGATCGCAATGTGGCCAGATTTGGCAAAGCTGTTTGGATGCAGATGACGAAGTGTCAGTGGAACGATAGTTGGAATTCGCTTATTGTTTGGAGGAAAAACCTTTGCCGCGGGATTTGATGGATTGGCCGCGAGAGGAAGTGTTCCGAGTAGAGAACAGAGCCGTAGAGTCAGTAGAATGTTGCGTTTCTTTCAGCTGTTCCTGTTGAAGATTAATCTCCTCACTGCATAACAAAGAATAAAGAACATCGAGATTTATGGGATTTAAAGAAGTTCTAATAGCGGTCTTGAAGGGGATTGTATATGGTTGGAAGCCCATTCAAGATGTAGAGAGAATGGCCGAGACAAGGTTTCTGTCGATCAGAGTCCAGAGTTGGTGATCTTGAACAGAAGAATCGGGCGAGCAAGGAGCAGCTCCAGTGAGATGACCATTAAAGCCGTTGGCAGAGAAATGTTGATGCATCTGAAAACGCCAAATGGCGTAGTTATCATTTTTTAGGATCGTAGGAACGAGAGTCTTGAGATTTGTGATAAAGAATTTGAGCGGGGTAGGGACCGTGAACTCAGCGAGGGAGACAGAGAGATTGGAGTTCGTCGGAAGAGAGGATGCCGATGCCTGGTCAGCCATGGGAGGGATGAGCGGAGCTCTCTGATACCATGATATAACGTTAGCCCAGTTACGGGCTGGAGATACAGAACAGACAAAGAAAGTGAAACAGGAAAATAGAAAGAGTATTCATTAATTAATTCTAGCATGTTACATGAACTCACATATATAGATATTAAGTACAACAAGATGTTATCAAGAAAGTGAACACGTCAGATAAAGAAGAGTCTAGAAGATTAATATGTACAGGTGATGTGAAACTACTAGGAGTTACGATTAAAATTAAAAAGAGAATTGTTTAAGTTTGCTATTATAAGTTTATTTCGATCATGCAAGATAGAGTTAAGAATTAGAAAAGTTAACTTGCTTAGGCCAAAGATTAGCAATAGAGAAATGAACCAAAGCTATTCATTCAAATTTCAAAGAGATTTAAATGCTAAATACAATCAACAAAATCCAACACTTAACAATGAGAATTTCATCTTGAGGCCGTTTCTCTCAATTAATAGTAGGCTTTTAGCGGAGAAAGAAGATCCAAGCGATGAAGGATATTACCACTAGAGAAGCGACGACACCGAAGAACTTCGTTGGTGGAGAGGTAGCCGGTGGGGAAGGAGATAGTGGGCGGCTTACGAGGCTCCAATCGTGGCTTGAGAATCGTCGGTCGATGATGCTCGCAAGAATTGGGACGACTCGCTCCAAATATTCTTCAACAGTGGTCTCGTCTTCAAATCCCACGTCGAAGCACGGAGATCTTAGGATGTTGATGCTCCCGTCGGCGTTGAATACAAGACCCCATTCAATTTCGGGATCCGCCATTCAACATTGAAATGGAGAGGGGAGGCGTCGTCTTATCCTTCTCTTGGCTTCTCAATCCGAGGGAGAAGCAAAGTGGGCGGCGGGAGCTGGAGAAGAGGGGAGGCCGGTGGGTGTAAGGAGCAAGGCTAGGGTGGAGAAAGGGATTTAGAAAATTTGGGAGAGATTAATCAAAACTAAAATTTAATTTTAGTTTTGAATAGGTTGGGAGGGAAAAGGCTTGAGATTTGAATTTCAAATCAAGTGGAATTATGGCTTTAAGTGGGGGAATTAATGAGGGGAGCCAAGGATGGGGCCGGCGGGCTATAGAGAGGGAGGGAGAAAATTAAAACTGAAATTTGATTTTCAGTTTTAATGCAATTGGGAGAATTAATTGAAATTCGAATTTTGATTTCAAATGGGGAGAGGGTTTAAGTGGCAATTAATGAGGGGAGGCCACATAGGGAGGCCGGCGGCATGTAGAGGGGAAGAGGGAGATATTTGGGGGAGGAACCAAGCTCTTTCCAAATAGGGATGAAAAGTTGGAGGAAAAATAATGACTCATCCATTTAGGTTTCATTTGAATTTTGACTTTGAAAACTTTCCATATTTAGCTTTGCCAAATTTGGAAACTTTTGAACTCAAGAGAATTGGAATTTTCAAATTTTGAGCAAGAGGGGAAAAAGGGAAGAGAACCGGCGGTGGAGATGCTTGGGACGGGGAGGAGGTGGGGTGGCCGGCGGCTAAGGGGGAAGCTAAGGCCGGCGGGTTGGGAAGAAGGAAGGGGGATTGGATGTTGGGGATAGACCATGAGCCACGGACTCCTTCAATGACTGGTGGGTATTGCTTTTCTCCCTCACCTTGGGCTCTCGTTCTCCTCTCTAACTCTCCACAAGAAGAAGAAGAAGACAAGATGATCAAAGCAAATTTTCATTCATAATATTCATTAAACTCAAAATGATACAAGAGACCACTATATATAGGTCTCAACTCATACAAAACGAAAATACTAAATTGCCCTCTGGGCTACAATGACAAAATAACTCCCCACAGGGGTAAAAATGGAAAGAGAGTAAATAAAACAAGATAATATTAAAATACATCATGATATCTAAATCAAAAGTAGAGGCGATGAATCGTGGCCGTCGATCTGCGGTTTCGCCGGCGATAAATATGTCGGTAGCGTCTGTTGATGTCCTCATCAACAGGTGTCCTAACAGGGTCCACTGTCTAATGGGGTTTGTATGGGAGCTGTTTAGTCCTTTTGCAGTATTTTGTTATTTGCTTTAAGTAGAAGTTTTTGTTAGGGTTGGGCATCTTTTTGGTGGCGGTTTTTTATTTTGGTGTTTAGCATTCATGAGCTTTAGCGGATTCTAGGGAATTGGGAGAGCTAAACCCTCCTCTCAAATAGAGGATCAATTATATCTTGATATTTTTCTATTCCTTTCATTCAATAATACAAAAATTGCTACTGTTTTTTTTTTCCTTGGAGTTTGGGTAGAGTTTTCACACTGATTTCCCCATTTTGATACGGAACGCTTGAAACTTATAAGCACTTCCTATCATATGATTAATATGACTTCTCTCAATTTCTCACCTTCCATTCCCCTCCCCTTTTACCTTCCATTCCTCCCCTTTTACCTTCACCATCCCACACATATGGTAGCAGGAAGCAGCTCAATAAAATGGCGCCCTTTTTCAATCTTTTTGAACGGCACCCTTTTTCAGTCTTCTTGAATGTCTCTTATGTGCCACGTTAGGCATCAGCTGTTCGGTCAGAACCGGATGTTCACATTTTCTGCTGCTTGTATTGGTACGCACTACCCCGTGGCCAATGGAAAACTCATATGGGAGATTATCTTGTAGAAACTTAAGGGGGATATTTGCCTGCCCTGTCAATGATGTTACTCTGCGGCCAAATACTGAGCATCACATAACCCAGGAAAGAGCTCAAACCCTACTAATGCCTCCGTCAAATTGATCTCTCACCTTCTGAGTTGCCTGGACAGTGAGCCCATCCATAGCCAACTCAACTATCAACTTCACCTTCACTTCCTTGGTTCCATAAAAGCATCACATCACCTCTAGATGCATTATTTATAGGCTTCCTCAGCTCTAAACAAAGTTGAAATATCGAACGAATTTCCTGTAATCCAGTATTTTTCCTCTCTTGCAGGCCCCACTCCTCGATTCATTGTAAAGGGGATCATCTCTTTACTTGATGATAAATTTAGTGAAATTCTTTCCTTGTCTTCACAATGGATGCAGACCATTAAGCTGAATCACTTAGATCCCAATGTTGCTCATTATACCATGAGAAAAACCCCTTCTTAAACCTCCCCGTTTATCACCTTATTCCTTGAACATCTCTGCCACCCCACACACAATTAGGGGTGTCAATTTTTGACACGACCCGGAAAAATCCGGGTTAGGGTCAACCCGGACCCGAAACGGGTCAGGTTCAACAAATTAACCCTTTTTAAAAACCGGGTTGGGTTCTGGTTGACCCAACAACCCGAAATTGACACGAAAACTCATATTTGACCCGAAATCAATGATTGACCCAATTTTGAACCGAAATCTAGCAATTTTGGGTCAACCCCGTGTCATTCGTGTCGGGTCGGGTTGACCCGAACCCAAATCGGTTTGTGTTCAAGTCCAAAAACTTGACTTGTTTTTAAAAAACGGGTCAGGTTCAGATTGACCCGAATTGTGCCGGGTCAGTCCGGGTTCAACTTGAACCCGACCCTTTGACCCGAATTGACACCCCTACACACAATAGTATATAAGTAATATTTAAGAATTTGGTGTTATTACAGCCTTGCAGCGATGCAGTTATCAATTGCTGGTCTTAATTGGCAGGTTTGTGAGCAAAGGTCCTTACGATTCAGGAAAGAATTTTGAAAGCTTGGAAGTCAGTGTAGACGCGAAGTCTGAACACAATTGACTTGCTGCAGTCGACTCTGCTGTAGCAGAATAGAAACCCCATGGTTTATGAATATGTTGATGTTATCGTACTCCTAGATAAATCCCACATCTGCGCGCTTTGTATTTCGTGCGATTTTATTTCAATGTAATTGAACACAGTGATATGGAGAGTTGACATGTCTTCCATGTTTGGCTTATGTTGTCTGTGGCATGATTGATCACTTTTACCCTGCAATCCATTAACTATGTCTGTGTTACGTTTCTAAATGTTATTTATCTTATTGCAATTTAAATTGTGTTACGTTTTTAGGTCTCAATTTGAGTAATATATATTGTTTTATTCTATTTGATTTATTTTAACTGATTTACCATTTGATTGGGGTTAATTCAAATCCAAAATAACTTAAAATTAATTAGGTTTATGGAAATAAATTTTATTGTATTCATAGTATAGAAGATTCAACAAATGTGAAATTCATTCTCATTAAATTTAGATCAGAGTATAGTAACATCTTAACTCAAATGTTCTCCATTTAGAATTTAGTGTGTGGTAGATATTGATTTGTTTTTTTTTTTTGTGTGTGTGTATATCCATTCTTCATTGTTAGACCTTTTCTTAGTGGCCATTTTGCCATTTAGTTGTAAGTAGTTAAAATGTAGATGCATTTGAAAATTTTAGAAATGTTTAGATGATTTTAAGCAAATTGTATGGGACTATTTTGTTAGATGTTGAGGACATTAGTGAGCTATGCAGTTGGGTTGGGGGCTATAGTGTGGATGACAAGATTGGGCTAATGAGGTGGGCGACAATGAAAGCGAGGTCAGGAGCAGTGAGGGCATGCAGGTTTTGTCGATGATATCACTGGCACTTGCATGAGGAGGTTGAAATTGGTGTCATGTGCGGGGGGAATTATTGGGTTCGGACACCGGACGTGTTTGGAGCCCAATAAAAATGTGCCACATCACCTACCACTCGGTATTTAGCTCGGTACTGAGCAGAATCAAGCAGTATCGAGCTCGGTACTCAATACTTCATAGTATCGGGCTCAATACTGCTCAGTACTATGAATTATTTGATTTACAAGTAATTTATAAATTTGGTATTTTTATTTTTCATCCGTACAGCACCTCCTTAAAAAGGTGTTTGAAAGTTTGTCAAAATAAATTTAGGTCTCCCAAAAAAAAATTTCTAGCTCCGCTCAAAATAAATTTATAGGTCGAACTTCATATGAGAAATATTAAAATTGTATTTCTGAATTTAAAATTTGCTCGATTTAAAAGAATTTTAACTTTCTCAAAAATAATTTATAGAGCATCTTTTAAAATCCTCATAAATTACTGTAACTAAGTCTAACACTTAAGACCCAAATTCAATTAATAAATAAGAAGTTGAGAGGTAAGCTCAATTTACATAATTTTTATATAATCTTTCGCAATTGAACACGTTTTACAAAAATTTTAGAACTTTTTTACTTAGGACTTGTTCCTCTTTCATTTCCTGTCACCTTTTCAAGCAGTGTTCTCAGTATAGGGGAGTAAAATACACAACAATTCTAGCTTCAGCATTCTAGACAATTTCTTAATAGCTTTAAAAAGTTATTTAGATAAAAAAATTATTATTTAATTTTTTTTTATGTTGACACATTTTTACGATCAAATCTATTTACCGAAAAAAAAATTATATAATATATTTCAAAAAAAAAAAAAAAAAAAACTTTTCTCAAGTTCTATAATTATTTTTACAAACAGTTTCAATAGCAAATGCCAAATTCTGACTTAACATTTCTCTTATTTTTATCCTCACAATATAAAGAAATGTGACATATCAATATTATAATTCCTTAGTTATGAAATATTTAACATAAATCACAACAAAAAGTCCAAATAATCTAACGATGATGAGCCGTGAATTTGTTTATGGATCAACTTTCTATGAACAATTATTACGTCCTCTGATTGGACATAGAGCTACGTTCAGTCGCCAATAACATGTCGCCACGTGCTCTAACTCTTTACCGCGTGGCCCGACGACTTGACCCGGTCCGGAACTCGGAAATGCTATGTTCGCGTATTGCTAGGTAAAAACTCGGTATTTGCTCGGTATTGCTAGGTACGAGAAATACCGCTCTATGAAGACCAATACAGAGCAATACCGAGTTGTACCGAGTTTTTCTAAAAACTCGGTACAACTCGGCATTGCTCGGTATTACTTGTTATTTGCTCGGTATTGGTTATTGCCGAGCAAAATCAACCAATACCGCACAATACCGAGCAATATCGAGCAATATCGAGAAATACCGAGCAATCCTGGGTCCGTTCCGGGTCGGGTTGTCGAGGCGCGCGGTAAATAGTGAGAACGTGTGGCGCGATTCTACTAGCGGCCGAACGTAGAGCTATGTCCTGTGACCGGACCAAATAAAAGTTTACTTTCTATCACCTCCTTTCTAAAATTAAGTTCAGTAATTATCTCTCTCTCTCTTTTTAATTAAGTACGAAAATAGCATATTCTTTCCCCACCAATTACAAGTTATGCGTGAATAAAAATAAATATCAATTAGAGTCTCAATTTTAACTAAAATTGCACAGAAATTATTCGAAGTATGGTCCCACCCACGGATCCAGCAGTAGTAGAGATCAATCAAACAAAGCTAAAATTACTTATATTAACCAAAGGGTGAATGATTCCTTGGATCCTAAAGAAACATAAGGAAAAAATGGCTGAACAGTGATTTTAAGAGAATCATATAGCAAGCAAAGATTATCTCAAATACCATAGCGTTTATAGAATGAAATTTTCGGTCATTATAACAGATTTAGCACAGCTCTAAATAAACAGCCGAAGTGAAGTTATTTTTCAAAACTTCAACAAGAAATACAGATCTTTGGCCATACAATGAAATCATTTCCAAACAAAATCACATCAGTTTGCAAACAGTATTTGCTTATTAAAATGTTGCAATGACCTTTTAGGATCAAAGATTTGCTATGTTTTGGGTAAATACCAGTAACTATAAATGCTTGCTATTGAGGCAACATATTATAGTGTCTGAAAGCAGCTACTTCAAACTATTGTTTCATTTGTGACTGTTTTTTTCTTGCTTTTGAAACAGTTTTTTAGTATAAAAATTAAAATTTTTTGAACTAGAAAGTTGCTTCAAGAAATAGTAAAAAATCTGTCCCAAACGACGCCCATATAAAGGAAGAAACAGCAGAAAGTTATGATTGCCGCACCAAAGAAACTCAGTACATAGAACGTACCTGCTTCTCGACTAGTTCAAGTGATGAAGAACTCTTTGGTGCTATGCATGAAAACTGCGAAAGAAGCCATGGAGATAGCCACCAGCCATTATTAATGACACAGTTGCAACAACACCAGCTGGAAATATCTTGCCCGACCTCTTGAAGCGAGAACCCATAACTACTGTAAGTGCAGCAGATAAGCCTGCAAAAATGGATCAAGCGAGAAGTCATGTAAATACCAAATGAAATTAGTAGTAGATTCATAGAATTCTAATATGGTTAGTGGTTCTTCAAAGAAAGAAATTAAACAATATCCTACCAAGCCCTAACGTTGATGCAAATGCTGGGCTTACTGGAAGCTGAGTGTGAACGTAGTACAGCAACAGAGTTGACCCTATTCCGGCTACAAGTGACTTCTGACTGCCGCGTTTCATGTAACCAATGACCCCTCCCACTACCACAAGGAAATATTCAGATGTTTTAAATTGATTTGTGAATCAATAACAGCAAAAATTGATAATGAATTCTCAGTGCTGCAACAATTGAATCAAATGGCTAAAAAAATAGCATTCATTAATGATTTTTTTTTGGTAAGGCTACATGGTATCAAATATCAAAACAAAGTAGCTGAAAAGTATCAAGAAACAAATCTCAAATATAGAAAAGCGAAGAAATATATGTATCTGGAAAAAAATAAATTCCTCTTCTGAATTTTATTGAATGACTGAAAAACCTTTTTATAAGGTTTCAACCCATCCAAAAATAATCTTTTTCTTCAAAAATCACATCGCATGAACACATGACCCAAATACAGGCCTACTTCAATAAGACAAATCAATACGAACCAGCCTCATCTAGTAGCTGGGAACACGATAGTGTGTAGAAAATAGCAGACACAACAGCAACCACACATTGCTACCAAAAAACATGGCAGATTTCTATCAGATGCAAATTGGACAGGGCATTTGTTAATCATCTTTGGTTTGATCTTGTTCCCTACACGAATTTTAAAATTTTGCACCCACTTAGTACCGATCATTCCCCTTTATTATCAATATTGGCATTTTGCCTAAGGTGAAATACAGATTCATTTTAAACAATTATTGGATAAATTGTGTTAGTTATATTTACTTTGTCAACAATGCTTGGAATTCTTTTGTGGAAGGCGACCCCATTCATGTCTTCAAAGAAGAAGCAAAAGGTGGTCAAACAATGGCCTAAAAACATAAAATGTAACAATTCAAATTATATCTATTCCTCCCTTGATCTTCTTAAAGGGGAGCAGAACAACGTTTTTCATTTGCAGGAAGATTCCCCATACATCCTGATTTGCTTTCTAAAGACAGAATTATTCAAGACAAGTTGATTAAATCATCTGAGACTCAACACAGTTGGATTGCTTAAAGAGCTAAAGTCAACTGGCTTTCTCATGGGGAAGACAAATTGAAAATTCTTGGTCAAAGAGCAAAAGGAAGACAGTCGCAATTGCATTAAGAAAATCAATAGTCCTAATGGTAATTAAAACTCAGCTTGATATGTCCAAGCAATTCCAATCATCATCAGTCTACTATAAACCAACTTCACTTGTCAAAAAACTTTCTTGTGCTTACTCGTTTTTTCTCAGATTTGGAAATTAAAGAGGCCTGTTTTCAGCTTAAGAAATGACAAGGCTTAAAATATGCAAAGACACTTGAGACATCATTGGTGTTCAGTTTATAGGAGCCATTTTTTTTTTTAATTGCAGAAACCCCAAAGATGATTAATCACATGGCAATTGCCCTAATTCTTAAGAAAAAAAAAGAGAAGTGATATCTTATATTATATATCTAATTCGTTTTGCAATAACTTCTATAAAGTGATGTCAAAACTATAGATCTAATTCATTTTGTTGTTCTGAAGGTTTTCCAAGAATCCATGGCGCATGTGTTAATATTGATAAATCATAGATCTATTTCTCCCATGATGTTAAACTTAACCGTATCCTAATTGAAATTTCCAAATTTCGATAGGGTAACTTGCCCTTTAGATACTTGGGCAATCCTTTTTCCCATTCCAAAAAAAAAACTAGATTGACAAGATCTTTTTGACAAATTAATTGGTTAGATTATTGGTATCCTCTCTTTTGTTGTTAGAATGCAATTTAATAAATTCTAAGTTTACATGAATTTGTCCTATTATTTTAGATCTGAATGCAGTCCTAACACTGCTTTGAGGAAAACAAATAAACTTAACCGTCCGCTTGTACGAGCGTTGTGGATCCGATGACGTTATTTAACAACACGATGAGTTTAGTACTTAGCTTGCAGGAGTATACTTTTATTTGCAAATGAGTTGCACGTCGTATCAGGAGCCTTCCACTTGTTACTTACAAGTGATTTGAGGTTATCTGATATGACAGCCTGGCACTATAAATGAGCTGTCTAAATTTATCAGTAGCTTGCAATTTTTTTCTACTAATTCCCTACTCTTGCTCACAAGTGAATTGTAATATTTTCTGTAGTTGTGGCACAAAAAAGTTTAAGACTTACTAATAGTTGAGCCTCCATCACTACAACATTTTACGAATCATTATTTTCCTAAATTCTCCACTCGAGGCAGTAGCGAATTTGAATAAATAAGTTGAAACATTTTCATTAAGATGATTATAAGAGGCAACAAACTTTCTCACAATTGTTCGAACCAATTTACTTGTAAAAAATTTATTTGTTGCAATGAATGCACCCATTACATTGCTCATAACATTGATTGTATATTCAAATCACTAATTAAAAACATCGCTAGCTAGGTTGACCTTAAGGCATGGCCTTAGTTAAGGCTTCAATCTTCATCATTTGTTCTAGATAAGCATGAAAATTACAACTAGATATGAGTAAGAAAATCCTTGTTTGAATCAATAAACTAGCCCTCGTCATTGACGTACCTCCCGCGAGCGAATGCTGGAGCTGGGGCTTTCAGCGGAGAAGGAATATCGGGAAGAAGAACCTGCAAGAGGGTTAGCAGAAAAACACCAATGGAACAGGGATAGTAGTAATACTAGTTTTTCATATATCTTCTTCTGTGTAATATGATCATCCCCTGAGTATATTATACTCCTCCAGCTACTAAGAGACTAATACTAAAAATAGGATAAAGGAAAATAGTAGAATGTTCTTTTAGCAGAACTTAAAACAGAAAAGTCAGAAAAGATGCATAGCTGCGGTAGTGGAGAAATGCCCAGGCGTCAGGTGATCCTGCGGAGTATGATAGTCCCATCAGTCATGCATTTGTGGGGACTGAAACTAAAAACTCTAGGAAAAGTTTTGGAAATTGAGGGCATTTCTGCTTTATGTCTAAGGTCATTTCTCTAAAACTATAATTCAGCAATTGAGGCTCCCCAGAGAGCTCTGGAACTCGAGAGAATTTTTGGTCGATCCAAACAATCCTTCAAAATGTTTATGGCAACAAGAAATATCGGCAGAATTTCCCACCCCAGAAAACAGCATCCTCCGCTACTGGTTGCTCTGCAGCAACAAATACTAACTCAAAAACAGTAAAAAAAAAAGGTTTTGCGTTATCACCAAAATTTATTCTATCAATTAATATTTTATATTGTTAACCGTCAAATTGATCAGTGAAGGATGAACCTTCTAATTAATTCCCACACAGTGAAAATTACTCAATCGGGCTAGGTCCTATGGTTTTTCCGCTTCAGGATTTTTTAATGAAAATTATCTCCTCAACTGCATGTTCTAAGAAATATCAAGTTGCAGCAAGTAAACCATCCTAGCGTCCTACTGTATCTGTTAATAGAAATTCCTTCGGACAATAGCTAGACCAATCACATAAAAACAATAGAAGAAAACAAATGAGCACAATCAAAGGTAAAATTATCAATTTGTAACAAGAAATTAGGGTGTTACCTCCCAGTAGGGCTGCGTAGCCCAGCGTCAGCTTCTGCGACATCGACATCCCACTCACTCTCTAGTTAGCTCAAGATCGCCGTCGTCCTCTCCTTCACTCCTTGCAGCAACATCCACCGGCAATATCTTAAGACCCCTTCGACCTTGATGTTAAGGGATCGTTCGTGAGGGGTTAGGTATCCTCATTTTGTCAACGTCGGCGGTGGCGTAGTATTTTCGAGGCGCAGCAGTCAAATGGGAAACGGTGAAATTTTGAAAACGGCATTTATTTAAATTTAAATTATATAAAATGGAAATTATATTTTTTAAGAACTTATCATAACAAATTTTTTTTCTTATATCAGTACATAGCGCAATTAATACAAAATTAAAAAATATCAAAAAAAAAAATTATACTAAAAAATTATTTTAAAAAGAGATAAAAAAACTATTCCAAACAAATCATACGACCACCACAACTTTTCTATTTATGAAAGCTACGTCATCATATTCTACTAAATACTTGTAATTGGAGTAACAATACCCTCTTTCAATCCAAAGCTCCAGAAGCTCCAACTAGCAATTAATACAAAATATTCAAATGTTAACATAACTAATATTTGTGTTGTGAGAGTTTAAATACAACTACTGATGCGGAGCATCTTTATTTGCTGTGCCGGATGATCATTTTATCAAACACCTGACTAGTTAGTTAGAATATACTCCATTACTTTCTGCTTTAGGCCGTTTGAGCACATGTGCTCCTTTTTATTTCAGTAGTTAATTTTAGTATAGTATTGGAGGAGTGAGCAGGATACTTAAGGGTAGGAGGAGACATAGAGTTCTTTAGTTTTTCTCTAAGATATACAAACAATTTACTGTTCCATTGTTTTCCTTCTTGTTGCTGATAACCATTTGTGCAGGAACCTACATCAGTTCTGGTATTAGAGCCAAATGGCGGAAGGCAGCAAACGGGCGGCTGCCGTGGAAAAAAGAAGCCTGGAAGCCCTTTGGGCTAAACACTCCGGTCTGGTTAAGCACACGGATGAACTTACGACGGACTTCCGCCGATTCTCCTAGGAAGAGCGCCGCGACCTGAGGGATATCCGCGCTCTGTTGGAGCGAAATCTCGAACGGAGAATCGGTCAGCCAGCAACCATACCGGCGATCCACAGGAGGTGTGGGGAGAGAAGGAACCCTCGGCATAATTTGCCAGGGGCGTACGCGTCCGATTCAGACGAGGGAATGGAGCAGTTCAGAGCTCTGGATTTATCAGATTCAGATGGAGAAATGACAATTAATCGCCGGTGGAGTCCAAGGGAACCAGATCGACATAACAATGAGTTCAAAGTCAAAATGAACATTCCCTTTTTTGATGGCAAACTACACATAGAGGATTATTTGGATTGGGAATAGGAGGTGGAGACATTCTTTGAGTACATGGAGGTAGAACCAGAAAAACAGGTAAAATATGTGGCATGTAGACTCAAAGGGGGAGCTAGTGCGTGGTGGCTGCAGTTGTTACAATCCAGGCGCCGGGATGGTAGAGGGCCGGTACGTAGTTGGTTCCGGATGAAGCAGTTACTACGAGGACACTTCCTATCTACAGATTACGAACAGATGCTTTATATGCAGTATCAGCACTGTATTCAAGGAAATAGCTCCATCAACGATTATACAGAAGAATTTTATAGGTTGAGTGCCAGGAATAACCTGAATGAATTAGAAAACCAGTTGGTGGCTCGTTATGTTGGAGGATTGAAGGATGCAATATAGGACAAGCTTGAACTAAACATGGTGTGGTCTCTGTCACAGGTAGTGAATTATGCATTAAAGGTGGAGATGCAACAATCAAGGCATAGGAGGAACAGTCAAAGCCGACGGACTGCAGAGCCCGTAAGTGACATGCATCGAATGATTCATTTTAAGTCTACTTCCTTAAACATACAGCCACCCGCTCATCCTGTGAATCCCGCGCCACCGATGGCACCTAGTAAAACTGAAGAAGTAAGAGCAAAATATAAATTCAAGGGACCGGCCAAAGACAATCCTTACGTCAAACCTTCCACAATCAAATGCTTTAGGTGCTTCCAACAAGGGCATAAATCAAACGAATGCCCATCTAGGGGCCAGCTGCAGCTGTTGGAAATGAAAAATGAAGATGGGGTGGAAGAGACAGAAGACATGCATGAAGATCCGATCGAAGAAGTGGAAGGAGATAACGGTGATCCCCTCGTGTGCGTGTTGCAAAAGCTCCTATTAGCCCCTAGACAACCAAGTAACTCACAGAGGAATGCACTCTTCAAGGCCAAGTGCACTATTAACGGTAAGGTTTGTAACCTCCTGATTGATAGCGGGTGTACAAAGAATGTGATTTCAAAGGCAATTGTTCAAACACTCCAGCTCAAAACAACGAAGAGTTCCAATCCATACAAAATCAATTGGGTGAAAAAAGAAATGGAAATGTCAGTTACAGACATGTGCAGAGTTTCATTCTCTATTGGCAAACACTATGCAAGTGAAGTTATGTGTGACGTAATAGATATGGATGTATGTCATATCATTTTGGGGCGTCCATGGCAATTTGACGTGGGCATATATGTGATACGTCATCAAAAAATTATCTTGATCGAGCACGAATCTTGATACAAAATCAAGTTGGAAACTTCCAAAATTAAAATTGGGACCATCCGAACTCCGATTTTAGCAAACCTATAGTTGAATCGAACGACTCAAAAATATGAACCCAACGACACCAAATTCGGCTCAATCTGAGCCCAAATGAGTCCAATTCAAGGACCTGAAGCGCTGTTGGAAGGTTCGAACCACAATTTGGGTTACCAAACAGTTTCCAAACATGACGTTCTTATAGTCGAATCGAGCGGCTCTACGAGACGAATCCAACAAGCTCAAGATCACTGAATTCCAACATCACTAAGACATTCAAATGTCCATCAAATAGCCCACGATCAAGGGATTCAACATTGTCCGTCCATCCAACCACTCTCCATTTGCCCTTGATCTCTTACTTATTTACGGGTCATGCCACTCCAGAAATTTATAAACAGACCCCTCATTTCTTTTGAGAGGGGATCAAAGCAAGAAGAAGATAAGGAAGAGATGGAAGAAGCTCCTCCTCGACCACCACCAGAGCTTCGCATGACCACCACTTGAGGCCATCACCTTCGCCGGATCACTACTTGAGGCCCTCGCCTTAGCTGGACCACCACTTGAGGCTCTCACCTTTGCCGGACCACCACTTGAGGCCCTCACCTCCGTTGGACCACCGCCTGACGTCGTTGCTTCGCCGGACCACCACTCTAGGCCCTCACCTCCGCCGGCCCACCGCCTGACGTCGTTGCTCCGCAGACCACCACTTGAGGCCATGTGCTCCACCAGTCCACCACTTGAGGCTCTGTGCTCCACTAGGCGACCACCTAAGGCCCAAACTTCTGCCAGACCACTGCCTGACGTCGTTGCTCCGTCAGACCACCACCTGAGGCCCGGACATCCGCCGGACCACCACCTAAGAGGCCCGAACTTCTACCAGACCACCATGTAAGGCCCGGACTTCCATCGGACCACCATCTGACGCCCGAACTTTTTCCAGACAACCACCAGAGGCCCAGACTTCTGTCAGACCATCACTTGAGGCTCGAACTTCTATCAGGACACCACATGATGCCCAGAGTTCTACCAGAGTACCGCCCTACTACAATGATCTTTTTGACCTCAATCTCCTGCATATTACGGTCCTTCCGACCTACATCGCCGAACAATGGTCTTTCAGACCCTAGTCTTTTTCCAACTATGGTTTTTCCAACCTATATCCCATCGACTATGGTCCTGCCGACCAAACAAACATGTCTATGTAACTCCCACCATGTAATGTGCTCTATATGATGCATGTTTGTGACATCATGCCAAGGCCTTCTCCTACGGAAGGGCCTCATTTGTAATCGACTGCAAATACTAGTGGATTCATTCATATTGGGCCAGGCCCCGTGGTTTTTTCCCCTATTCAAGGGTTTCCACGTAAAAACTTTGGTGTCTCTTATGAATGATATACCCTCTCTCTTATCCAATGCTTTAAAAACCAGACGGTCCGACCGGTTCAACCGTGAACCGGTCTAAAGGCCGGTTCGGTTCAACCTGAAAACCGGCTTAGCTTCAAACTGGCCGGTTTTGTCCAAAACCGCCAGCGAACCGGTCACGGTTCACTTGAACCGGCCGGTTCAAGATTTGTATTTTTTAATATTTAAATTTTACAATAACTTTATTTAAATATTAAAAAATATTTATAATTTATTGCAAATTTGAAATGCTTATTCAATTAAAAATTTCCAAACTAAGCATTTCATAAGTTTTATCTCTTGTACATGATGTACCACACCGTTTCTAGCTCCAAAGCAATATATAGTAAAAGCTTCACCAAGGAAAAGTCCTCTCAATTGATGTGCCGGACTAAAAAATCTAAAGCTCCTATGTGCTTTCTCTTCTTAACTTTTAAATTTTAAAACATACACTATTCCATTTTAAAATAAATATTTTAAATAATTTTATGATGAAAATCATGAAATAATATTTTTATTTTAATAATTAATATTAAATAAATTATATTCATCATTTGTTTTTTATTATACATAAATATTAATTAATTTATTTATTATTTATAATAAATGATTTAATTTAACCTCAATAATTTATAAATGTAAATATAATATGAATTAAAAATATAACAATTTTAAATATAAATTATATATAAATATATAACATAAATTAAGGATAATTTATATTAAACTTATTAATTCATTTGTAAGTTAATTTTGTTTAAATTGTAATATTAACATTTAAAGATTGAATTCATGCATTAAATTATAAAATTATATAAGATATTAGTAATAGTGCTAAGTTAATCTTATATGATTTTATATCATCTAAAATTTGTATTTATTACGTCATCCGTTCAACCCTCTCTACCGGTTCGTTGTCCTGTCCAGTTTCTTCACAACCTTGCTCTTCATCGTTTGTTGATCGATTCGTTCATACAACAGTTAGGACATTAAACTAATATATTCTCTGCCGGCCGTGAAATATTCCAGGACGCAGCATATGTAACCACTTTATTTCATGGAATAACATATCTAACATCTGAAAGATTAAATATTATATGTCTAATCACCTAAAAGCAACAATATGAGTGCATGTAAGAAATTTAAATTTTATAGGATGTATGAATGATAAAAATGAAAATAAAGGAT